AGCGGGTGCACCGCCTCCCTATTGATTGACCGCCTTTGCCCCGCACCCACATGCCCGACGAAAGGCGATCCAGCACCATGTCTCGCTGCCGGCGGGCGCGCGCACGGTGGCCGGCGCCGTGGACTCTCCTCGGAGATGCCTAACTAACACCCGATGAGGGAACATCCTGTCGGCGAGGTGCCTGTCACAGGCCGAAAGGCGCGGGCCACGGAGGAGGGTAGAGGCTGGATGAATCGGGAGAATGTGCAGACGCACAAGCACCCCCGCACCCCCCAAGAGGCAAGTAAAGAGAAGGCTTTGTGCCGTGCGGGCTCAGCGAGAGAGAGGCTCGGTGAAGCCAAGCACACCTGGGGGAGGCGAGCATGGGAGAGGACGCCAAGGGTGCTTGTTCTCCGAGACCAATGAAAAAAAAAACACGCACGGAGGGAGAGGCGCGGGAGGGGAAAGCATGACCCCGAAAAAAAATGAAGCCGAAAAAAAACCACGCGGCACCCGGGAGGGACAGTATCCGCGCGAGCACGCGCGCGGGCCGACAGAAAAGGGGGCCATCGTCCCGGCCAAGCCCGTGCCAGGAACAACCAGACACCTCCGATCGATCGCGCCACCCAGAGAGATATATTTATTAATGCGGCCTTTCTCGGGCTTTTGCCCGGGGCCATTATTATGCCCGGGCCCGATGCGTTGGCACATCTCTCCACGCTTGTGTGCCGCGCAATGGACCCGAGGGACCCGGCCCTTGCCTCGGGCTCGCGCGTCCGCGTTCGGGCCCTTTGTCCACGAGGATGAGGGCCGATCATCCCCCCCCTCAACCCCCTTTCCGGCCGGCGAGCGCGTCCCCGGCGCCAGACATCGGTCAGGCTACACCGGCCATTGGTGTTCCTAACACGCCTTTTGCAAGACACCGCCTCACGCGGGCACACCACCGCCGGCAGCCCCTCAGGCCACGGTGGTTGGCCAGGGGCCAGGCATCACAGCGATCCATGCTCGTCACCAGCGAGCGCCCGCATGCCGACCTGTCCCCAATCGCCTGTCCCCCGGAGGGGGGGGGGGGAGCTAGCACGCCGGTCGGCCAAGACCAGACCCTCGTCCGAGGCCCTGCGGCCGGGTGAGTTGCCGCACCGAGTAGCGACCCACCAGCCGGGGCCTTCCTCCAGCTCACCGCGCCTCATGCGCCACCGGACACTAGCTCCCGACGACCCGGCTGTTGAGCGACGACGGTTGGCGCTCTGCCGGTGCCCTCGCCGCCAGTCCCCGCAGCCGCCAGCGACACGCATGCCGACACCTCGGCCCTGGCCAATGCACCCCCCTCTGCAGCCAGTCCCCGCAGCCGCCAGCGACACGCATGCCGACACCTCGGCCCTGGCCAATGCACCCCCCTCTGCAGCCAGGACAGGCACATCGGGCCGTCACGCGCAGATCCGCGATTGCCGGATGCCCGGAGCCCACGTCAGCCAGGTGCTCGGCCGCCTCGACACACCGGCTTCTGCTCTCGGCGTACCTCCAACAGGCCGCAAGTCACCCGCATGGCCGAGGCCCTCGACCACTGACCGGACCCCGGCGCCCATGGCCCCACACTCCGGGCCGAGCCGCCCAGGGGCCGGCGCCCTAATGCGGGCCGGGCATGGCGGACCGGCTGCATGCAGATATACCTGCCGCGAGACAGGAGATGCGCCGTGAGCCACTGCCGGGCCGGGTTGCCCGGGGTTCCGGCGCCTCGTTCCCGGTGCGGCGGCCGTCCAGCAGCCGCGAGGGGCATGGAGACCGTGCGCAGTGTGGGTGGGGGAGACAAACAGAAAAAAAAGGCATCCTTCCGGCTATGCGGGAAGAAAACGCCGAGGGTCAAACACAGCAACATACCCGCTGCCATGGTATCGACTAAGCCAGAGCCCCGGTTCGCAGGGCGACAGTCCATCTCCGGAGACCTGCCCGGCGCATGGCGATCTTTTGGCATGTGTCACCCGGCGGCGTGCATAGTCCCGTGGAGGAGGAGTCACTCGCTCACATCCGGACCCTGATGTGCAGCCACGCCTGCTTGG